TCTCGAACAACATCTATGTGGAGGAGGCTCCCGCCTGAAAGTTCCTCAACAAACGCTAAAAGGAAGAGGCCTCCCGCCTGGGAGCCCCCCACACCAACCACGCTAGGAGGAATACCCCCTCCCCGCCTGAGAGGTCCCCAACACAATGCGAAGAGGAAGAGCCCCCCCCCGCCTGAGAGGTCCGAAACAGAACGTTAAGAGGAGATGCCTTCGGCCTGAGAGGCCACACAACAACTCAGCGAATTGGAGGCTTCGGCCGGCCTAATAGGCTCCAAAGAAGCCCAACGAAACCCAAGAGGATGATAATCCTCATCTTCTTGCCGCGTCTGTTCCTTGGTCTCTCGCTTCTCCTCTCAACTCGTATGTGCTGTGTATGTTCGTCTCCCTTCTCCTTCTCAACTCCACCTGGTGTCTCCACCTCATCCTATCTCCTCCAACTGCCTCTTTCTTCCCATTCATTATCCTCTTGCCTCCTCCTCCTCCTCCTCTGTGTTCTCCTCCTTTTGCCTGTCCTCTTGCCTCGTCATCAACCTCCTTCTCCACCTCCTCCTCATCTGCATCCACGCTCGCTCTCCATCGTCATTATTTGTTCCTCCTCTCATTTCCCCTTCTCCTCAACTTCCCATTGACGGGGAGGGGAGGAGAGCGCCGGACATCTCATCTCATTTCAATTTCCGCCTTCCGGTCATCTGTGGTCCTCTTTCCCCGTTCAACCGCATCCTCCCTTCTCTACCCTCCTTATTCTCCTCTTGCCTCCTGCCTCCTGCCTCTCCTTTTCTTCTCATCCTCTTCTTCCTCGTTTTGATGCTGCTGATCCTTGTCCTCCTGCTCAAGAGTCCCAGGGGGGTTGGGGGGCGTCGAACGCCATCTCGCCACCTACCAGCGCGAGGGGTTGCAGAGGCTCAACAAAGGCCTCCAACCTGAAAAACCCGTGCAGGAAATTGGGGTCCTCGCCCAGCTGGCGAGATTGAATCAACATATATTGCATGTGATAGCCTATGTCAAACCCTTCGGGTGTTTGGCTGGTAGACGCGCGCTTCAGAAACTCCTCCTCCTCTTCCTCCTCGTTCTTATTCTCCGCAGCCTCCTTCTTAATCGCGCATCAGTGTCTTCCTCCTTCCCCTCATTTATCTTCCTTCATGCATCCTGATCCCTCCTCTTGCCTCCTCCCTGCTCATTCCCCGTGTTTCCTCCAGCCGTCTCCTGCTCCCTCATCCTTCTGCCTCATCCACGCCAAACTTCCTTTTCCTCCTCCTCGTCGTCACCCGTCCTCCCTCCTCATATAGTATCCTTTTCGCCATGCTGCTCCTCCTCCTCCACCTCATCCTCGTTGCTTTACCTCCTTCGTCTTATCCCCTGCCTCCTCATTCTCATGCTCAAGCCGTCCCTTGCGCCTCCACGTCGGTGCGTGAGGAATTCGACGCGCCCGCAACATTGTGTTTTGCAGGTCTTGTCGTTCGCGCAAGCACAGGTTGTTCGGCGGAATATGTTAGACCTGTCCTCTGGAACACTCATACGGTACTCCTAGGTCTCCATCACGTGTCTGTTGAGTGCGGCGCTGGAATACGTGTCCTGTGCATCCAGTTCGGCTTGTCCTGTACATCGTGTTCGGCTTTCGACCCATGGGAGATGAACTGCCTTTTTTAAACTTAGGCTTTCGACCCATGGGAGGTGAGGTGCCTTTTAAACTTAGGCGTTCCCCTTTCCTTTTCCTGGGCGTACCATTTGTTCTGCGGGAATTGGGCGTGGGGGTTTCGGAACTGGTGATGATTCATGGTTGTCTTGTCATCACTCGTGTTTTCTCTCATGGTTCAACCACCGCCTGCGGTATATTTCTCCGATGCGCGGGTAAGCTGAGGGACATTTGCGCTCGGCGCAACATGGTGGAAGCAACTGCTAACTCAAGCATGGCCGTCATACCTTTCTTTTGTGCGGAATAGTGCTGCATAATGGGATTCGTTCATTTCCCGCTGTGCGTTTCTGGGGTTGACCTCAAGATGCCCAAACGCGTATGTGTCAATCTGGGAGGATTCGATGGTGGTCAGCTACGGCTGAAGTCGCGCACGTTTCTTGGATTCTGAATTTCGCGGGCGGCATCCTTTCGGTCTTCCTCGTCCTGCTGGTGACCGACAGGAAATTCAGAAGGTGGCATGCGAATGAATGTTCGCTACGCCATGGCCGCACTATCTGTAGTCCCTTCTCGTGTGTACTGTATGGTGCCTTGCCGTCCCGCCTCCTGCCTCCTGCCTCCAGCTTCTCCTCCCGCCCCGTCGTTTTCCAATCCTGTGCCTCTTCCTCATGCTACTGCTGCTCCTCTCGGGCGGGTGGTAATGGGGGGTGACCCGGATTGGTGGTGAAGAGAGGGGCTTCCAGAGGGGCCCTTTAACGCCCTCTTTGGAACCCACAGCTGCCCCTTTAGGGTTTTTCGTCACCCCCCCATTCGGGGCCACCCCCCAGTACCACCCGACCGATCCTCCCCATCCTCTACGGTGGGCGCACCTGGTAAGGCAGCTTGCTATCAAAAATCCATGGGCACAGCCTTCGTGTAGTCTGAGGTTCGTAGATGGTGCCCTAAGACCTGCGAGCCCAGCGGGCAGTAATAACGTCTCGTTGGGCACCCGTTGGCAGGCCTGGTCGGTGTTTGGTGCACCTTGTGAAAAAGAGGATAAAAAGGGTGGACCCTCCCCCTCCTCCTGAGGACGTTCGGGGGTGCCCAGGAACGAGGAGGAGGATGAGGAGGCAGGGGGGGAGGACAATTGTAAAGCCAAGAGTCATCACCGATGTTCGAGTAAACTTTCCCTCCAACCTCCCTTTTCATAGGTCCCCACAACGGTTCATTCCACTTGAGGGAACTTCCTCGTTGGAAGACAACCGTTTGAAGACACTGACGCAAAACACGAATTCTGGTAGGTTGATGAGTGGGACTCGTTAAAGTACATTAAAAAACAAAAACAAAAACGAATCTGCGCGGCGCTGAAGCGAACGGCACATGTTGAAAAAAAACACCCCCAATCCGTAGAACCCATGCATTTTTTGAAACGACTGTGCGCCGCGCTAAGGCGAGCGCCACATTTTGAAAAAGGGCGACCCTCAGTCCGTAAGGCTTGTGAAATGTTTGGTAAACGAATGTGTGCGGCGCTACGGCAATAACCACATTTTGAAAACGGTCTGCTCTCAACCCGTGAAGCTCTTGCAACTGTTTTCCTGTTGTTGTAAGACAAAGCAAACGTGCGCCGCGCCAAGCCGAGAGCCACAGTTTGAAAACCACCCTCCTCCATCAATGAAACTGTTGTCAATGTTAAAAGCTTCGACGAGGAAATCTCAGGCGAAACGCCCGACCCGCTCAAAAACTAGCCTTGGGTTGCGACAGGGCGCAAGAAAGTTACAAGGAAAAGAAATGTAATGGACCGTAGAGGGTGAGGAGGAGGAGGAGGAGGAGGAGGAGGATGAGGAGGAGGAGGAGGAGGAGGAGGAGCAGAGGGAGGAGGAGGAGGAGGAGGAGGAGGATGAGCAAGAGGAGGAGGAGGCAGAGGAGGAGGACGAGGAGGAGGAGGACGAGGAGGAGGAGGAGGAAGAGCACATGAGGTACATGCTGCTTGACAGGGAGGTCGCACCCTCCACACGTGGTCGGAGGCGCTCGACGGGGGGGGGGGGGGGGGGGGGGGGGCTGCGGTCCCAGAGCGGCCCTGGAATCTGAAGTCGACGTTGAGCGGGCGGGGGCAGTGCGCGGTCGCGCGCGAGCTCGCGCTGCACCGCACGGAACACCGCCCTCCCTCCCTCCGACGCCACCAGTCCACCCCCCCAACAACTCAGGAAGGCGGGGTGGAAGACGACGAGGATGGAGTCTTCTTCTTGACCTCTTGACCAAGTGCAGGAGGTCGTGCGGGGAGGGGGGGGGGGACGGAAGGGGAAGGTGGGGGGGGGGGGGGAGGGGACGAACATCACGCCCGAACGTACGTGCCGAAACACGTGCAGGACACGGGCAGAGCCCGAGCTAACCCGAGCTACGGCAAAGACCCGACACAACCAACCAACCCGCCCCCCCCAAAAAAGGGGGGAACGGGACAGGCTGCCGACGCGGACGGGTTGCTCTCACCTACCGCGGCGACGAGGGGGAAGGGGTAGCGGAGGAGGCGGACCATTGTAACCCTCCGTCAAACCCCCTTCCCTGTAGGTCCCTACAAAACAAATTTCCTCTGAGGGAAGCGCCCCGTTGGGAAACAACCGTTTGAAGATCCTGAAGCGTGCCACAACACCGATTTCGAAACTTCAACGCCGCAAATCAACCTGACTGTTGCGTCTTGGCGATCCTGAACCGTGCCAGAACACCACTCCTGGGACTCCAACACCGCGGATCAACATTACTGTTGCGCCATGACAATCGGTAACCGCGACAAGAACAATATCTATGGTACATAGTGCGTGGCGCTATGGCGAAACCCACACGTTGAAAAGGGACCGCCCTCAATCCGTGAAGCTCTTGCAACTTTTAAAGCCAAATGTGCACGGCGCTAAGGAAAGAACCACTTTCAGCAAACCGCCCGCCCTCAATCCGTGAAGCTTGTGCAATTTGTGATCAAGGAAATGTGCGCGACGCTACGGCGGTAACCACACGTTGAAAACGATCCGTCCTCAATCGATGAAACTCTCATGAACTGTTGGAAACGAGTGTGCGCGGTGCTGAATTAACAATCGCATGTTGGAAACCACTGGCCCTCCATCGGTGAAACTTCTGCCAATTCTTGCGTTTCAAGCTCATAAGTGGTCAGGAAGGCTGAAGCGAATCGCCCGGCCCGCCTGGCCTCGGTGTGCGACAGGGAGGAATGTTGTATAAGGCATGGATGGAGGAGGAGGAGGAGGGTGATGATGAGAAGGACGAGGAGGACGAGGAGGAGGAGGAGGAGGACGAGGAGAAAAAGGAAGAGGAGGAGGAGGAGGAGGGATGGGAGTAAGGGGTCTGGAGGGACGGCCCGAGCCGCTCGCGTTTCCCCTTCGGCCGCCTTGGCGTAGGCCACGCGCCGCGCGTACTCCGCCTCGTAGCCCTGCAGGGCCATGAGGTTCTCCTCGGAAGTCGTGGGGGGGGGGCGGTACTGGCCGAGTTGAGAGGGGGGGAGGCCGATGGGGGAGAAGAAGTGAGATGCGTCACGGGGCTGCTGGGGGCGAGGAACTGCACGAGGATGAGGACAATCCGCCACCGTGCCGCAAAGCACGAGCTCGAGTGCCCTCAAGTCCCTTGTGCTCCTCAGTCGTCCGTCCTCAGGGGTTGAATATCACGGGCCTGGACCCAGCATCCTCCACGTTTCCAAAAGTTTCCGGCGTGCCTCCCGCGGTTCCCCAGCGCTTCTCTCATGATTTGTTAGGAGCCGCGAGCGCCTCAAAACGGGCCAAGAGGGCTCTGGGAGGCCTCTGATCTACAACCCAGGCGCGGTGGCGGGAAGGGACGAAAGCCATTCGATGATCCCCCTTCCTGTTGGCAGCGCGCGCGTCCGTTGCAGCACGCGAGCGCCGCAAATCATGTGTCTGAAACCCGGCGATGGCAAGGCAGCGCGGGCTCCTCGCCCAGGTCTTGGACAGGGCCGAGAAGAAGGGCAGGCACGAGAGACAGAGAGAGAACACCAAACAAACACATATAGAGGAAGGAGGTAGGCCAGGCAAACTGCTCCCCCCTCCTCGTCGTCCTCCTCCTCCATCTCTTCCTCCTCCTCTGCCCCTCATCCGCCCGCTCCTCCTCTGCCTCCTCCTCGTCATACTCCTCTCGCTGCGGGATGCTTTCTCTGCTGTGGCCAGCGCTTGAAGACCAGCACACGTAGCAGACTTGAACTGCGTAGCAGAGCCACAGTGGCAAAGCACATGTGAAGCACAGCCGCTTTCTCCTCCTCCTCCTCCTCCACCTCCTCATGCTCCTTCATCTCTTGCTGATGTAACTTCCACTCCTCCTCTCCTGTGCACCCCATGTGCTTCCTCCTCCTCTTCCTAGCATTATCCCTCCTCTCACCCTTGCCAAGGAGTGCTAGACGTGCTGCTGTACACGCGCAACCTCCAAACCTCCAGACGCTCAGCACAGCGCACGACATGAGCCCCAGGAGGTATCGCCCCGATCATGACCAACCCCGCGGAAGAGCTGCCGCCGTGTTCTCCTCGCAACGCCTGGAGGTCCGGGGCCTTCCTCCCCTGGCCATCGCTCGGACGTCCATTTCCTGTGTTTTTTTTCGGTTTCGTGCGTGGTTTTTTCGCCAAATGATCAAGGATGCTCCTCGATGGTCCTCGCCGAAGGAAAAATGCACACGTCCGAGCGATGCCAAGTCCCTCACATCCGCCCCCCAAACCGCCCCCGGCCGCGCTCTGGCCAGTCTCTTGCCGTGGATCCGCCCGTGGCGATGAGAACCCTGCCAGGCGGCCCCTTTCGCCCGCCGACCTCATCCTACTCCTCCTGCAACTCCTCCTCTTCCTCCTCCTCCTCCTCCTCCTCCTCCTCCACCTCCTCCTCCCCCTCCTCCTCCTCCACCTCCAACTCCTCCTCCTCCTCCTCCTCCTCCTCCTCCTCCTCCATCTCCTCCGAATCGTGCACAGCCATCACGCTCGCCGTCCTCCCCGAGCCCTCGCGCTCCTGGGGTCCGGACATGTAGTCCTGCTCCGACCACACCAGCCTCTCCTTCTCGATGGTCGCGAACTCGGGGGGCCCGCGCACCTGTGAAGGGGCCCCAGGACACACAAATAAATGCACACAAATAAAATCATTCCCCATATTTTCCCATATTTTCTGGGTCTCTGTCTTCCCCCCCACTGCCCATATTTTCCCGTATTTTCTTGGGAATCGACGATTAATTGTGTCTGTGTTTTTTTTCTCTCCTGAACCTGCTGCGACCCGGTGGTCGGAGGCATCATGGAGCGCAGGACCACCGCGAGGGCCTCGAACTGGTAGGTGTTGCCCTTCAGCACGCTGTTGGCGAGGGCCGCGCACGCAGTCTCGACCGCGTCCTCGTCGATGTGGGCGCTCTTCACCATGGCCCGCGGGAACTCCCCGTGGACCCGCGACATCGCCAGCTCTTTCTGGATCGGCACGGCGCCGCACCTTCTGATCGGCATCTTTCTGGGGGTGGCTTCCTGCGACTCTGCATCAGCAGTAGCACTACCGACAGCGGCCCGCCAGTCTTGAGGGAAGGGGGCCCAAGAGTATGGAGCAGTGTGGGCCTCTGCCTTCACCACGTCAGGTGGTGGGAAGGGCCGCCTGAAATCATCAGCTTGACGTCGGCATATACACGTGCATTAGACTGAGAACCTGCCTGTCGGGTTCGGCATTAAAGCCTTCCGTGACTCCAGAGTCAGTGACACAGGCTTCCATCCTAGGCAAGTGCGGGACAGCAACTTGCATGCCGGCGTGCTCTGGTCTTGGGCTGGTTGGGGTCTTGTTGGTGGTCGAGCTCATGTGTTGAAATGGCTCGCGGAGCCAACCTGGCCCCCGAATAATGCCAAATGGGGGCCCGTTAGAGTCCGAAGAGGTGCACGACCAGCTGGCCGGGTGGAAGGAGGCTGGGCCAAGCTTCAAGAGAAAGCCATCGATGCGCACTCCCCCCGTCGAGGCCTCCGTTGGGGGGGGGCCAGGATCTCTACGACAAGAAACTCGAGCATCTCGTGCCAGTAACCCGTCGGGGGGCTCACAGCTGAGGCGGGGAAGTCCGAGAGCTAGAAGGGAAGAGGAGAAAGGAGAGGAGGAAGGAAGGACCGGAAGAGGAAAGAGGAGCTGAGAGGAGAGGGAGGAGGAGGAGGAGGAGGAGAAGGAGGAGGAGGGCAACTGGGACCGCCGCTTACCGTCCAGGCTGCGGAGTCTCTGCGGGCCTCGATGACCTTCCAGACTGGGACTCCTCCTGAAGGCGCCCCCAGCAGGAGGGAGGAGGGAGAGGGGCGAATGAGCGGAGGAGGAGGAGGAAGAGGGTGGGGAGGATGAGAAGGCCAAAAAGATGAAGCCGCTTCGGGGGCTGATCCAAGTTGAGCTTCAACACTCTAGGCCAGGAGGAGGTGGAGCAGGAGGAGGATGAGGAAGGTGAGCAGGAATAGGAGGTGGAGATGAGGGGAGCATATAATGTGCAGGAGGATCGATGATGAGAAGGGCTAATCAGGGTACCGACGATTGGAGGAAGAAGGAATGTGGATGAGGATAAGAAGGGATGAGGAAGAAGAGGGATGACACTGAGGATGGGGAGGGGGGAGGAACATCACCCAGATCAAACTGCACCTCGGCATCGTCGCTCCATCTCTCACACATCGGCGCAAAATTCCCAGGCCAACGCATGATCGATGAGCGCTGCTGCCCCCCCGTGCTGCGGAAGTATCACCACCACCACTGCCACCGCTATCCGCATCATCGGCATCATTGCCACCGTAACTGCCATCACCACGACTACCGTCATGATCACAATCATCAGCATCATCATCATCATCATCATCATCAGCATCATCATCATCATCACAATTATCATCACAATCACCATCACAATCATCACCATCATACTCACGGTCGTCATCATCATCATCCTCATCATCATCACCATCATCGTCATTATCGTCATCATCGTCATCACCATCATCGTAGTCGTCATCGTCATCAGCATTATCATAATTGTCATAATCGGCAACATGGTCATCGTCGTCATACTCGTCATCATCAACATCACCAGCATCGTCAACACCACCACCATCATCACCACTACCACCATCACCATCCTCGTCCTTGTCGTCGTCGTCACCATCATCATTATCATCAGCATCAGCACTATCATGAACACCTTGTGGCTGGCGCCGCGCCACGCGGCGCTGCTCGCCTGGGGGACGCAAAACAATACCTGCACCGCCCACTCCCCCAGACCCCTGACGGGGTGCGCTCTTCGGCGGCGCGCCCTGGGATGGACGGCAGCGGGGGCCCCCGCCACGAACATGACGTGGAGTCGTCGGATGTTGCTTGCTTGTTTTGACGCGGGCTGTCGCTGCAAAAATCTCCTCCTCCTCCCTCTCCCCCTCCTCCTCCTCCTCCTCCTCCTCCTCCTCCTCCTCCTCCTCCTCCTCCTCGCTCTTCGCTCCTAGCTCCTCGCTCCTCGCTCCTCGCTCTTCGCTCCTCGCTCCTCCTCCTCCTCCTCCTCCTCCTCCTCCTCCTCCTCCTCCTCCTCCTCCTCTTCCTCTTCCTCCTCCAAAGTCGGCGCGGGACCCGGCAAACAGCGGCGGCAGGCCCGAGCTCCGGCAGGCGCCGGGCCTCCTCCCGCTCCTTCCCCGAGAGGAGGCTCCCGGCAGGCCTCTGGCCTCCCGGGAAGCTGGCCCAGGCCTTCTCCTCCTCCGCCGCCTCCTCCTCCTCCTCTCCTCCTCCTCCTCCTCCTCCTCCTCCTCCTCCTCCTCCTCCTCCTCCTCCCTCCTCCTCCCTCCTCCTCCTCCTCCCCCTCCCCTCCTCCCTCCTCCCTCCTCCCTCCTCCTCAGAAGGCCTGTGAGCTTCTGAGAAGCCCCGCCGCCCTCCAAGGATAGGGGAACGCAGGATGGCATAAAGATGCAAACTCGGAGGTCCGCGCGGATTGCTCGGATCCGCGTCGGGCCCGCCTCCTTGGCGCGCGGAGCGCGCCAGGGGCGGCGCCGGAGGCGCCGCCAGGGGGCCCCAACGCCGATCCGAGAAATCCACGCGGACCTCCGAGTTTTTATGTTTATGCCATTTTTCGCTCCCCTCAAGAAGGCCCTCTTTATGATGTTCCAGCCTACTTTAGCCTTGATCACCAGAGAGAACTTCGAGCATCAGGTAAGTACCGAAGCTGCAGGGTTCTCACGTGGCGGGCCCTGGGAGGCGACACTTGCTCGGCTCTGCTTCGATACTTTCCTGGGTGCTCGAAATTGTTTCTGGGATGTGGTCCGTCATCGGGGGAGCGCAAACATGGATTAGCGATCCATGGATTTGGCGCGCGGTCGCCAAATCCATGGATCGGGGGAGGTGCCCTCCCCAAAATGCGGCCGGTGCCGCCTCATTCGGCGGCGGAAATCCGGGATTCCCCATGGAAGCGGGGCCCGTCGTGAATCCACGCCCCCTTGATCCATGTTTGCGATCGCCTGGCTTCAGTACGATGGGAGCAGCCTGCGGCCTGCTCCCCTCCCGCTTCCCCCCGCGGTGCGCCGCCGACTTCTGCCCAGGGTTCTGTCGGGCGTGTCCCCCTACAGGGGGATTTTCGACGAAAAACAAGAGATACTCCAAAAATAATCCAAGGATAGTCCCCAAAATAGTCTGGGGACTATTTTTCTAGCATTTTTGGACCATTTTGGAGCATGCTTTGAATGTTTTTTATTCTTCGTCGAAAATCCCCCCGTACACCCTGCGAAATGCTTAAGAAATCATGGGTTAAGAAATTCATAGTCTGAGAACTTAAATAAAAAACAAACATTTCTATTTAAATCTTAAGATTTACATTGAAACGTTAAGAATAATCGAGACTCTGGCCGAAAACTTGAGTTTTCTTAAGCATCGCCTAAGGTGTAGGGGGACACGCCCGACCTAAGCCCAGGGCTCCGCGGCGAGGCGGGGCCGGGGCGGCGCGGCCCTGCCCCGTTTTCAGGAGGCCCGGTGCTGGGCGGAGGCGGCCAGGGAAGGGCGCCGGCAGCGGCACCCGGAGGTGCGAAGTCTCGGCCCACTCCCAGGGGCCAGCCCCAGACTCTAGACATGGATCTCGCCTCATAGAAAATCAGGACAGGAGGCTTTTGGTGGACTTCGGCCCCTGGGAGCCCTGGCTCAGGACGGGAGGCTTTTGGTGGACTTCGGCCCCAGACTTATGTTGTTCCCAACCTACTTGAGAGCCGCATCCCAGAAATGATTTCGAGCACCTGGACGAGTGTCAAAAGAGTATCGAAAGAGTGTCGAAACAGTGTCGGGCGAGTGTCTCCCAGGGCCCGACACGTGAAAACCCTTGAGTTTCGGTACTTTTTCTTCTGGCGCTCGAAATTCTTCCTGGTGATCAAGGCTAAAAAGTAGGTTGGAGCATCATAACCCCAGACATGGATCTCGCTTCATAGAAAATCAGGACGGGAGGCTTTTGCTGGACTTCGGCCCCTGGGAGCCCTCGCCGGGCCTCGGGGCCGTCAGAGAACGACTCAGGATGAAAAGCCGATCCCGGAGAAAGGGTCGGGACTTCCAGGGGCCCCGAATTGAACAAATCAGGACGTCGCATGTCTGGGGCTCCTCTTCCTGACCTGTTCTTTGGAGGCCCCAGGGCCCGGCGAAGGCCTCATGAGGCAGAAGGCGGCGGGGAACATCGCCGTCTTGATGTTTCCACTCGGCTGGATCTCGGCGGCGCGCACGAGGAGGTAATGGTGAGGGCGCAAGGCTTCCTAGAAGGAGCCTGCTTCGTAGACGGCGCCGGCCCTGCGTCTACAGAAAGGCCGCGCCCCGCGCCTTCTGAGAAGCAAGGGTGCTTCTGAGAAACCTCCCCCCCTCCCCCTACCCTCCTCTGCGTGTGGCCGAAGATCTCTGTCGGGGAGACGTAAGACTTGGGTACGGGGGACTCGGGTTGGCCTGACGGGGCCATCATGAACATGACGAGACCCAATCTGAAATTTGACGCGAAATCCCGCTGCAAACATCCCACGAAAACCGGCCCGTCAACATCCAGGACGCGCTCGTCAAAAAACGTCGGCAGACCCGAGTTCCGTCTTACTCTAGTCTTACGTTTCCCCGACTCTGGGTCCACGCTTAGGTCGGTCATGTCCTCCTAGAGGCGGATGTTGGGCGAAGAATTAGGAGTGGTCAACAAATCTTCCACATCTTAAAAAAATGCAAGCATCGTCCCCGGACTATTGTTTGAATCCTTTTGAGCATTCCTCCTGTGGAGGGACAGGCCCGACCCACTTCTGCGCCGCTCTTGCCCCCCGCTCGCCCGGCAAAGGCTCCGAGACGCTCACGCGGCGGCGAGGCCGCCAGCGCCCGCAGCACCGCGAGCGAGCATGCGGCCTGCAGCGCCGCGGCGGCCCACCGGGAGCCGCGCCGCGGCCGTCGGCCCCGCGGCCGCGCCATGGCCATGGCCTGCCACGGTACAAAAAGTTCGGCCCCCCTGCGCGCGCGGAGCCCGGAGCGCACGGGCGGAGGGGGAGGGGCAGGAGGCAGGATGAGTCGGGCGAGGAGGAGGAGGAGGAGGAGGAGGAGGAGGAGGAGGAGGAGGAGGAGGAGGAGGAGGAGGAGGAGGAGGGGAGGAGGAGGAGGAGGAGGAGATGGAGGAGGAGGGTGCGGCTGAGCGCACGGGCGGAGGATGCTGTAGGTGCTCGGTATCGCTCAAACGATCCCCGTGCCCACCAGGCCATGGCATCTGAGCCCCAGCATCCCACCCCCCCAGTTGGGGATAGGCCCATGGAAACCCAGAGGGAACAGCCAATATCCCCTTCTTGAGGTAAATCTGCCAGCGGGGCCAAAGCCATGCCAATGAGAATGAGGATCGGTTAAACTATGACCAAGTGCGTCGGACAGGATGGGAAGTCTTCGGATTGCACGCAGGCAGTCCCTCATCAAGTAGTCCCGGCTGACCCCAACAAACCCCCTGAGTAGTCTGGCGGCAGTCTCAACACCCCAAGCCTAAGGCGCTCCGCGCCCCAGGGGCGCCGCCAGAGACAAGACGCTGGCCATCCAGCTGGTGCCCCCCGCAGAGCTCCCGGATCCCCTGGAGCCCTGGGGGTCCACTAAGCTTCTGGGTCGCCTTGGGAAGCTCAATACTGAGAAGTGCGCCCCTGTATTCCTTATAGCAAGATGCCCCATCGCATGTAGGACGAACGAAAATCCGCCGATCCGGCGTGTGAGTTTCTGAGAGCTTGGGCTTAAGAGCTCGCTCAAGCGTCGCTCTGCCTGGGGGGGGGACCTCATCCGACCTCATCCGACGCATTCAATACCCTCCCCCTCGACGCCGGCCCCACCCCCCGGGGCTGGCCCCCCCCCCCCCCCCCCCCGCAGGCTCCCCCCCCGGTGCCCGCACCTGTGCTCGGCACCCCCATGCCCCCCCCCGATGTTAGCAGCCCCCCCCCGGTGCTGGCACCCCTCCCGGTGCTGGCCTCCCGCCCTGCTGGCACCCCGCACGCCCCCCCCCCCCCTCCAAGGCCCCTCCCCCGATGCCCGCACCTGTGCTCGGCACCTCCCCCCGGTGCCGGAATGTCGGCGCGCGCGGGGGGGGAGCGGCGGTACCGGGGGTTGGGGGGTGGGCCGTCACTGGGGGGGGGGGGGGGCAAGCACCGGGGGAGCGGGTGCCGGCACCCGGGAGAGGGGGGGGTGGTCTGGATACCACGAGGACGCCCACCCGCTGGCATGCCAGCACCTCCCCCTCCTCCTCCTCCTCCTCCTCCTCCTCCTCCTCCTCCTCCTTCTCTTCTTCTCCTCTTCCTCTTCCTCCTCTCCTCCTCCTCCTCCTCCTCTCCTCCCTCCTCGTCCTCTACCTCCTCCCTCGTCCTCTACCTCCTCCTCCTCCTCCTCCTCCTCCTCCTCCTCCTCCTCCTCCTCCTCCTCCTCCTCCTCCTCCTCTTTCCAAGCCCACATCGCCATCACCACCACCATCACCATCACCCGCACAATCACCATCACCATCACCATCACCATCACCATCACCATCACCATCACCATCACCATCACCATCATCATGATCATCAACATCATCATCATCACCACCGTCACCACCACCACAACCGTCATCATAATCATCGTTATCATTTTTATCATCAGCATCATCAGCATCATCATCATCAGCATCGTCATCATCAAACTCATCATCATTATCATCATCATCAGCATCATCATCGTCATCGTCGGTCGTCGGTCGTCGGTCGTCGTCGTCATAATCGTCGTCGTCGTCAAACGTCGTCAGTGCCCCGTTCGTCAGTCGTCGTAGTAATCATCCCGCACGTCGACGGTTGGTCGTCCGTTGTCGTCGTCAGCGTCCATTCCCACACGCATCAGGAGCGCCCCGGATCGGCAGCACTGGCCGGAGGCCACTACAATCATATCGGCAGCGCCACCGTCAACGAGCAGGGCGGGCTTCACGGTGGTACGCGTCGCTCTTTGCGGGCGACTTGATCGATGCATCTCGGAGCTCCAGCCCGGGGAGGTGTCATGAACCTCCTCGCTGGGGTTGCTCTGCTGATAGTGGTGTCCTTCGGATGGCTGCTGGTGCTGGTGGTGGTTGCCTGGCTGAAGTGACATGGACAAGTCTGTTCGCGATTGCTGATGTTTTGTTCAAAGAGTTTGAGTCAGTCTCCTGGATCCCTGCCACCATCCTTGCAATCTTTCGTGACCCAATGTGCACAATGGTGTATGGCCAAGACAGAGCGCACACCCATGTGCCACTGCTTCCTCACCAGCTGCTGATGACCGTCCTGGGACCTCAAGCGGACCTCAAGAGGCACAAACTTGGAACGACACTAGACATCGCCATTTCGTAGCGCGGGCTACCAGGGGACGCGGAGGAAGGGGAAGAAGGAGAAGAGAAGCGTGGTACGGAGGACGAAGGGGGGAGGAGTAGGAGGGCGTAAGAAGAGGAGGATGAGGAGGGGCGAAGAAAGATCGAGCGAGCGCATGGAGCCTTTCGCGAGGTGAAGCCGAAGCGAACGCGAATCATGAGGACTCGGCTCGGCTCGAGCCCTGGCCCTCGGGCCACTGCTGCCCATCGCGGACTCTGCCGAGGTGCCTCCGACGGGTGGCCTCGAGAGGCTCGGGCGGCTGCCCGCTGCTGACGGGGCCCTGGAACACACAAATAAATACACAAAAAAAAAGGATTCCCCATATTTTCCCATATTTTCTGGGTTTCTGACTTACCCCCCACTGCCCATATTTTCCCATACTTACTGGGGAATCGACGATTAATTGTGTCTGTGTGTTTCTTCTCCTCCTGAGCTGCCAAGAACACCCCCCCCGCGCGAGCCGCACGTCCAGACCTCCAGCGACCACGAGGGGCGAGGACCGAGGGCGCCGGGCGGCGGCGGGGCTCTGCAGGTCCACAAGCCTGGCCGGTGTGAGCAGCCAGCGCTCGGCAGGCAGCTCCAGCGCCCGGAGTGCGCTGCGCAAGCGGTGCCGTCGCACGGCGGAGGGGGTCTCGGGCGTGCCGCAGCTGACCCGGATCGGAGACATCCCCAGGGCCAGGCCGCGCAGAAGCATTCGACACAACTTGAAGGGAGGAGCAGAGAGGAAGGCGGAAGATCTGGCGCTCTGACTGGCCCCGTTTGCACGTAGCCCCCGTCCGCAGACCCCCGACGTCTTGACTTCTCCCTGACGTCAACCCCTAGAGGTCTCGACCCATTCTTCCGGGGACGGGCTTCTTGTCCTCAATCGTTTTTTGACGGTCCCGAGGCCCCGTGATGGACCCCAGTCAGTCAGAACCGTGCCTGGACGGCATACCGGTTGCAGTGCGCAGCTGCTGCACGAACTGCGTTTGGCGCAGCGGCGTGTCCATCAGTAGCCTTGCAGAAGGAGGAGGAGGAGGAGGAGGAGGAGGAGGAGGAGGAGGAGGAGGAGGAGGAGGAGAAGGAGGACGGAAGAGGAGAGGAGGAAGGAGGCCGAAGATAGCGAAAACACCTCCCGTCGTGATTTTGTTCCCGAACCCGAGGGCGAGGAGAGGGGGCCGAAGGGCCAGGCGGCGGGGACGCGCTCGGAACGCCCTCGTGAGCGCGCGCGCGCCGTGGGTCCTCCTCGCCGTGCACCGCCCTCCGCAGGCTCGGCACCTTCTTCTCCTGGGCGCGGGTCGTCGTCCTCGTCGTCGTCGCCGCCGTCGTCGTGGTCGTCGTGGTCGTCGTCGTCGTCGTTGGCGGCGGCGGCGGAGAGGAAGAAGGGACAGGAGGAGGCGGCGGAGGACGAGACAGGGGGAGCGCGAGGGATGGTCACTCCCCTCCTGCGCGAGGGGGAGGAGAGATAGAGAGAGAGAGAGAGAGAGTGGAGGAGGAATGGGGAGGAGGGGGGAGAACGAAGGGAGGAGGACAGAGGAGAAGGGAAGCGAGGAGCAGGAGATTGAGGAAGGGCATGCTGAGGAAGACCAGACCAAGAGCAAACGACGCACCAGCGATGCTGCAATACGCCCACCCGTCCCAAGTCCACCCCCCATCGGCACCTCCACGAATTCCTTTCGCTGCGCGAAGTGCCGCCTTGAAATCGAGCGCTCCATGGTCCTGCAATTCAGGTGAGGGCCGCGTTCTGAAAAGGAACTGTCATTCCTGCTTCTATTCAGAAGGACGGCGACCAAGTAGGATCAGAACACCCATGAACATACACTATGAGATCCCCGCTTCGAACACGAGCCGACCATAGTCTGTACAATCTGGCTCCAACGCCACCGGGCCATAAAATCTGAACCCCCTGATTTGCTGATTTGGAAAGGAGGCGCCCTCCATCCGTGTAACCGTTGCACAAGTTCCCCAACAAAAACATGCTTGCCCTTGAGGGTTGTAACTTCTGTTCTAAATAAGTTGGGCCGTGTCTTCGGTCTTGCTGCTATGCGGCCACCGTCGCCGCCCCGTCGCCTCCTCGTCGACGCCCGTCGTCTGGACCGTGCCCTCGGTCTGGCGGCTCTGTGGCCGCCGTCGCCGCCCCGTCGCCGCCTCGTCGCTGCCTCGTCGCTGCCGTTGGATTGCACCACGTGGGTTGCACGAGGAAGAAGGCTTCGAGCCTGCAGTACGCTTTGTGATCGCTCACAACATGGGTTGCACCACATTTGTAATAGCTTACAGCATAATTCTCCTTTCAAAAAAGAGAATAGACTCTACCCCCCCGGCGTTATCGCCCTCCCTTTCGGGTATGTAAATCACATATGATTCTGACCACATGTCCATCCTAAATATGAAACCAGAATGTCCCAGGCCAACCGGGTTCCCCCCCTAGGTTCCCTTGTTAAAAAATTATGCGGTGACATTTTTTATTCTAACTTAGCACTTGTTCACACATCCCTTGCAAACAACCGGACGAAGTGCACACGCGCGCGTCGTCGCGCGCGCATGCCGGAATCCTTCAAAAACCTTCGGTGCCGGAAGGATTTCGCAATCGAGTTCCAACAAACATACAAAAACACATGGTTTCGTAACACTGATGTGCTAAAA